GCCGGTCCAGCTTGAGCCTGTGCCTGGCTCTCACGGCCCTCAGCAACTGCCCCTAATTCATACTTCCTGTTGTGGCCACTGCTGGAATGTCAAAACCACTTTGGCCTGTCCCCAGAGCCCCAGAGTGTCTGGCGGGCCTCCCTCTTCCCCACCACAGCTATTTTTGGGCTCAGCACTGTGGGCCGTGTTTTGGGAGAAGCAGATTATTGCTTGGCAGACTCAACCAAATGGCAGGGCCAGGATGAGAGTTTATGGAGACTGTAGAACTTCGAGACACGGCGAAAGACTGTGAGTCTGTGCTGCCTGTCTGCACACCTAGGAGGCTGCATAATGGGGTCTGGGCTGTGTGGCCCTGAGGTACATGTGTGGAACCCGAGGCCATACAACCCTGCAGTCTTCCTACTCATCACCTGCTGGCCAGATCATCAGGCAGTTCTGGTCTGTGGCCTGGCAGGGGCCTGGAGTGACAGGGGCCACCTCTCTGGGATCCCCTGCTCAGGACTGGTGATTCAGAGTTCTGGGCAGATGTATGGAGAGGCTCAGGAAGGCCCAGGGTTCACTCATCTCTCACCTGGCACACACCACTGACATCCTCACCAAGCAGCCCAGGCTCTGCTCACTTACATCTGGGGTGGGTGCTCCCCATGCTAGGTATTTGTGCAGCCACTGGGATAGAAAGCTCATACCTGTGGGCAAGGACAAGAACCCAGGCATCCTTGTCTTCCCCTGGTGATACAACCAGAATTCCTGCCTCCACGTTTTGCTCAAGATGTTTTCCCAGCCCTCACATGCCCTGCAATTTCATGAGGTACTGAGGACCTCTTTAAGAAAACAAATGCAATGCAATATTGTAGATGCAAGACTAGGTGCGAAAGTGAATATTAGCTTAGAATGAGAATGCAAACAAAACAAACGACAAGTTCATAAAAGCGGACAAATATTACCCCAAATCATAAAATCCAGAAAAAATTCCCTCCCTGATCAGAAGCCTGTGGCTGGACTTCCACTGTGCCCAGGTCAGGCAGGGGCTGGCAAAAGAACCAGCGTGCATTAACCAGGCCCTTGTGTGTCCCCCTCTGCACGGCTGAGGAAATTGAGGCTGGGGTGTGGGGAAGGATGGGGCAAAGCGTGAAGGTGGACCCAGAAGGGATCCATTGCCTGTTCAGCTCCATCCCAAAGCTGCACCAAGCGGCCCAGCCACAGGGGACTGGCTGCCTTGGTGTCCTCCCTCTCCTCTAACACGGCCCTGCTGGGAGGGGCCTCCCCTTACGTGGAATGCATGCATCAGCGCTTCAAACTCTGGCTTAACCGCCACCCCCTACACTCACCTCCCACCCTTCCCCTCCAGATGTGGGCGCAGCTGTATTTTTGGAACAGTTAACCACGAGGACATTCTTTCTAATTAAGAAGGTTTCAAGTCTCCTATCCGCAATCAGCCCCATTGTTCAGTCCTCAGATATCAAAGGGTAGTCAGGAGGAGCCGCCTCAGCTGGTTCTAGATTGGGTATTTTTTCTTCCTTTTGAATCATCAAGTTGGAAATATGACCCAAAACTGGAGTGAATGCCAGCTCTGAGATTGGGGGGCAAAGCAGGATTTTGGGTGAAGCCTGCAGGAATTGCCCCAGGGCCTTGCCCTCTGCACCCTGTCCAGGCTGGGAATGTCCAGCCAGGCTGTATAGCTCCCCATGTTCACCCACCCAAAGGTATTGTCTGTCTGAGGCGCTGTCTGAGCCAGCGCCTGCCTTCAGGTTTCCCAGTACAGGGAGGGTCAGCAAGCAAACACGGGTGCCCAAGGGCATAGCACCTGGTGGTGAGCAGGTCGGCTGTTATGATGTCCCTATTTTCTAGGTGATCAAATGGAGGCTTGGAGAGAGGACATAACTGATAGAACTGCAGGAGCCCCTTTGGCGTTGGCTCTAGCCTGCTGTACTTGATGGTGTCTCACTGCCCTCCCTGGCAGCCTCGTGCCCAAGGTCAGCAGGCCTCCTGATCTCCCCCCAGATGCCCTTCAGGAGGATCCTGGTGTTGGGCAGAGATGCCAGTCCAAATAGGAGGAATCAGGCTGCAAGGAGAAAGAAACTTTGAACAGCCTTGAACCACATGGAGCAACAGGCTGCTCTCACTCTGTAGCACTTCCTCCAAACTGCAGCTGACAGATGAAGAAACTGAGGCTCAGAGAGGCAGAGAGGCGAGCCCAGAGCAGCTCAGCCTACTGGTGGTCAGGTGCTAGGTACCCCAATTTGCCATAGGGGCCCACCCACCAGTCACCCCAGTGATGGACAGGCCTGCTGCTGAGCTGAGCCTGGAGGAAAAGCCAGGGGCCTTGGGGTCCAGCTTTAGCCGTGGCTCCAGGGTGAAGGCATCTGCCCAGACCCCTGTTCCACTCCTCATGGAGCAGAAGAGGAGGTTCAGTATGGCAGAGGCATGGTATCTCTAGACGCCAGGCCTCCCAGCTCCTGTCCAAAGCTCCCCACCCCGGTTCCCCACCTCCACCTGGCGCTTAACTGGTTGGCTGCACAGAACAGAGGAAGTGAAATCACCCAGGGGTGGATGGAGCAGGGGCCCCTTGGGCTAGGAGACACGGTTCAGGACTCGGGTGCCGAGGGGCTGTAGGGGTAGCCCTCCCATGAGCCTGGGGCAGCAATGGCTCAGGCCTCTTTGTTCTCCTGCCACACTGAGCCCTCTGGAGGCAGCAGCGCTCAGCTGCACAGAATCCTTCAGAGTCCGGGCTTTGTCGTCCCCTCATGGCTGGAGCGGGTCATGACAGTGTCAGGCAAATGCCGGGAAACCTGCTAGGACCTTGCTAGGGGCCTGGGGAGGGCTGAACGGGACACTGAAGGGTCTGGAGGCCGAATCCCCGGGATGCCCTTCATGCCGGCCCGGGTCCTCAGGCTCGAGTAACGGCAGAGGTATTTTCTGGAATGGGCCCGGGTCGAGGAGGCAGCCCCGCCGCTTTTGCGGAGGTAAGGGAGAAGGTCCTGCCTGCCCGGGGGTTCGTTGGTGGAGCGGACACGGTGGGCGTCAGCGCCAGCTGCTTTGCTGTATTATTTTTTAGTGTG